GACTGTGAGTTCCAGACCAGCCTGAACTACGGAACAGGACTCTGCCTTGTCTCAAAACACCACCAAAACCACCAGCAACAATGAAGAAACATGCAGCTTATCCAGCCAAACCAACCACAACACCACAGTGTCGCTCATTCTGGTGATGTTCAGGTTCCTGTGCCCAAGGGGGGCAGGTGTTTAGACTTTAGGATATAGTAGCATGCAGCAAGAATGTTAAAATAACCACGACAGTAAAAAACAGGACACGAAAATCCTAAATAAAGCTGGCCATGGTGGCACATGCCTTCAGACCTACCAGTAAGGAGGCAGAGGCAGGCAGACAGATCTTTGAATTTAAGGCCAGCCTGGTCTTCATAGCAAATTCCAAGCCAGCCAGGGCTACATAGTTACATCCTGTCCCAAGAAAACAAAAATCAGGAGCTGGGGAGATGATTCAGTGGTTAAGAGCACTTGCTGCTCTTGCAGAGGACCTGGGTTTAGTTCCCAGCATGTACACGGTGGCCCACAACTATCCATAACTCCAGTTCCAGGGGATTGGTCGCCCTCTTCTGACCTCCACTGGCACCAGGCATGCATGTGGTACACATATATACATGGAGGTAAAACACTCACACACATAAAACAAATCTAAAACAACCCAAAATTAAATAAACATTTAAAATCTAAGGAAGAAGGCTGGGGAAAAGACCTAATGAGTATCTAGGGAAGTAAAACAGAGGTATAAGTAAAACAGGGTTTAAAACAAGATGGTGGGAACTGGGAGGTGGTGGCAAATGCCTTTAATCCCAGCATTCCGGATGCAGAGGCAGGTGAATCTCTGAATTCGAGGCCAGCCTGGTCTACGGAACGAGTTCCAGGACAGCCAAGGCTACCCAGAGAAACTGTCTTGAAAAGCCAACCAACCAACCAACCAAACAAACAAACAAAAAACCCAAAAAACTAAGATGGTAGGAACCCCTTAAAGTGTATCCATAGCTGACAAGCACCTAAAATGGACACTGGACTCCCTGATGACAGGCAGAAGACGCTGGGCCCCAATGGCACCCAGGCCTCACTGCTCATACTTATGGGACCCAAGAGGCTCCAAGGCTAAAGGAGACTATGGAGTGGTGTGAGGGTGCAGGGAGAGCACCCCGAAATACTTGGGAGCCCCACTATGGTTGGAGGGTCCTCATACATGGGTGGGAGTGGTGGGGCTCCACCCCAGAATGTGCCCTTGTGTAGGGTATTTGACCTCTGGGGGAGCCAGCTCTGCTAGTGGAGCCCAGAGTTTCAGAATGAAGTTGGGGTGCAAGGCCTGCTCCAGCCCCTACGGACTGCTTGGGGCTTGGAGTTCAACCTGGAGCAGTTGGTCTGTACAGGCCATTTCTAGGACATCCTAGATTGTGGATTCCTCCCTCCCCCGAATCCCTAGTCAAGACACTCTGATCAGTTCCAGGACAAACCTTGTCCAGTTGTCCACGGGTGAACCTGCTGCCTGGCTGCTCTGTGCAGGGGGTATCCCGGGCTTGGCGAGGGCAGAGGCTTCTGGTACTCATGCCCAGGATGAGTGAATGACAGGACAGGTCAGAGTGCAGCTGCCATGTAAGGGGCCAGGTTCTCTTGGATGACGTTTGTGTCCAGCTCCACCTCTCCCAGGAAAGCCCCTCCCCAGGGGCTGAGGAAGGTCTGTTCAGCAGGTGGGCCCTATACCCACTCATGAGGCTTTCAAGGAAGGTGCTAACAGTGTGCACCTGGCAGCTGTCAGGACACATGAATGAGGCCCCTGAGCAGGCCTGAATCCCTGTGTCCAGAAGCCCTGTGGCGGCATGCGTGTGCTCAGGTGACCCGAGGCAGGTGATGCAGAAGTGTGCTGAGGATCTGCCCACCTCTGCCCCTCCTTCCTCTTCCTCGGGGGCGGGGGGGGCGGTCATGGCATACACTTCAGGGTGGGCAGGCCGCACTAGCTAAGCATGGTGGCAGGCCAGCCAGGTGCTTGCATGGGCCATCGCTGCCCTCTACTGTCCTAGTGTTGAAACCAAGAGCAGGACTGGGTAGATGTGTCTGCCGGGGGAGGGAGAAGGATCTAGATGGGGCCCCCAGCAGACCCAATAGACGGTACCTGTAGCCTGGATCAGACACGTACATGGAGTCTTCCGAGGGGAAACACTGCCAGCATGACCTTCCCTGGTCAGCTGGCGAACTTCTACAGGCCCTGAGCTCCACACAGGTAATGGCTGGGGCTGGGGAGATGGTGCTTGAGATCCTCAGTGCTAGGGGCAGGCCAGCCAACATGGCTAAAGCCCAGCTGTCCCAGAGGTGTGCTGGGAGGGGCTCAGCACCCCCGAACCTTGGTGTCCCTACCCATGGAATAATGCCAGCGCAGCGGGAAGAGAAGGGGTTGTACACCTGGCAGAGACGGGAGACTGGGAGCAGTGCAGTTCCTTGTGTTGTCTCACGGATGCTCGCGGGTCAATCATCATGAGGCGGTGAAGCGGTGCAAGGGCACATGGACTCCATCAAGCCTCGGTGACAGCACCTGGCCAGCACAGGCCTACGGCAGAGTAGAGTATTGTGTAGGGAGGACAGAGGTGGAGGTGGAAGTCTGTCTTGCCTGCAGGGCACTAAGAGGCAGATCATCGTGGTCTGAGTCTGTCTTGAGGGGAGGAGTGTGGCAGGCAGGGCTGAAGGGAGCCATCATGGCTTAGCAAACAGGCTCCTAGGCACTCGGTGGTGACCATGGCTGTGGCTACAGTGTTGGTTGCACACACGGCCTTGTTTATGGTGGGTAGAGATGGTGGGCTGGGAACACGCTTGATAAGAGGGTGGTGTGGTGTCACATAAGGAGGTGACATGGGTGGTTTGATTGGGGGGGGGCAGGCAGACACAGGCAGACCAATTGGGAGGCCCGATGGGGACTGACCTTGGGTCTGTGATTGGGAACCAACTCCTGGGTATGGAAGAAGGTGGCTAGTGAGCTTATGAACTCAATGGATAGGGACTCTCCTCTCAGAAACAGGCCAGACATCTAGGGGCAGGAGGGTTAGAAAAGAGCTGGTGATCTTGAGTGAACCTCATAATGAGGTTACTCTTGTAGGAGGCCCACTGAGAGGCGCAAAGCTCACGTGGAGGGGAGTCCCTTGGAGGTACTAGGGAGACCTGTAGCTAAGGAATATGGTAGACGGAGCAGGGTTGGGCTTCTGCCGGTGGGGCCAGAGAAAGTCCCTGTTCCTCCTGCAGTGAGCCCCTACATGGTGAAGGCTGGGGAGGGGAGTCTGCTCTGCAGGGGTGGAGAAGGGGTTTACAGGGAACTGAAGCCAGAGGCCAGGCCTTGGAAGGTGGGAGTAAGAGGGGTCTGCTGGGGAGCTGCGAATGGGGCCGTTAAGAGGAGACCTGGAAGGACGTTCCAGACTGGGAGGATGGGATGTAGATTGGGCCAACATGGCCAACATGGAGTTACATCTACAAGAAGTGCAGCAGGTGGACCTGGCGCCTTCATCACTATAGCATGAGGGGCAGAGGTTCATATGTGGGAGTGGAATACGCCCTAGGGAAACCTTGCGGGTAATCCCTGGGCAGGAAGTCAAGAGTCTGAGGGAAGAGGTATGGCCAGACTCATGGCAAACTCGGGGGCATCCCAGGGCTCTCAGTCTCTGTAAATCTTTAAAGGGGGGCTGAGACAGGTCCAGGGCCTTACTTTCATGTAGACATAGCCCCCCAGGGAGCAGGGAACCAACACCCAGAAGGAGGTATGTCAAGTGTCAGTTGGCTGTCTTGCTATGGCAACTACACCCTAGGGCAGAGGCCATAGAGCAGGTGCTGGAAAACCTAGGGGATCGCAGGGAGAGGAGAATGGGACATAAACTTGAGGGTACACATGGATTGCTGGCATCTGTGGAAGCATGCCAGGACTGAGTGAGTTCTAAACACAGGTGTGTATCGACTGAACACAGGCCCAGGGGTGAACTGTAGGGGTGGTTGTCTGTGCTTTACCCCTGAAGTACCACCTCTAGTAGGCAGCAGGTAACTGCTAGGTACCTGTACCCCCTGGGACATGGTCAAGATGGGGACCCCTTAAGACCTGGGATGAGTATGCGCTCATTCTCTCTTGGCTACCTCGTGGTCTCGGATGCTGGTGCTGTGGATCAAGGCAGAGTTCTCCAGAGAACTGTGTTGGACCGCACCCCACCCCTCCTGGATTCTGCAACCAACTCCTTTATGCTTGTTGTGAATTAATCCCGACTAAATTTCTTTGATTATCAAATAGACTCCATGGAATTTCCCCATTATCTGGTACCCCATGTTGGGCACCATGGCTGCTGGTTCCTGTTCCTGGCCATAAACTGTGGGAAACTGCAGGATCCAGCATCCCACTGCAGAGGTCATATGAAGCTCACACTTCTGCTCAAGAGGCTCCTACCAGGCCATGGTAACACTCTCTTACAGCCCAAGGTGGGGATAGTGGATGGCAGGAGGGACCTCCGGGTAACAGGGTATAGCCTGACCTGCAGCTCAGCCTGGGTGAGGGTCACAGGGTCCCTTCACTGAGTTCTCAGAAGGGATTTCAATCCTATTTTACAGGCATGGAAACTGAGATGATATAGTGAGCCTGTGGTACAGGGCCTTGTCCAAAGCTGTGTATGGGTTGGGGCTCAAGGGGGAGGCTGGGGTGACCTTCCGTCATTCAAACATCTATTACCCACCAGCCCATCTCCCTAATGTTCCCCATCACCTTTAAACAATTTCAGGCACACACTGTAAAACTACGTTTAAGCTGCTAGAGAGCCGTGTGCGCAGACTTGGGAGGCATTTGCCTTCTACCAGGCTTTGAATGGAAACCAGAGCCCTTCATGTAAATTCACACTGGCTAGCTTTTGTGAAAAGAGGGCCCCTGACTTCTCAGAACCCTTTGCTAGCCAAATCCTGGGCTCTAGTTGTCCTGGTGGTGTATGGCCAACTCTTACTGAAAAGGTGTGGCTTTTATGTACCCCTGTGGTAAGCAGGGCAGGGCCTGTGAATGACTCTCAGGAACATTTATTTTTTGTGCAAACCCATTAGCACAATGTGCAGGCCCACTAGCAGGTCACCTTAGAGGGCTGGGTAAGAGGCAAACCATGCTCCAGGCTTCCAGAGGTATTTCCAACCTCCATAGTGGGCCAGTTAAGACTTATGGAGTTAGAGAACAGGCCTGTTTGCTTTCTCAGGGGACTAAGTAATGAAAGAGGCCAAGGCAATAACTAGACAGAGTTTGGATGGGCTCTGCCAGGCATGGCCTACAGCCAGTCAGCAAAAGACTACAGGTGGTACCCCCAGTGCCAACTCAGTAGACATAGGGACCCACCCAGGTTGTGATGGGAGGGGCCCTCTGGGACTTGGTGCCCTTCCTCTCTTACTCAGCAAGTACAAGGTTTCATTCTCCCTAGTGGTCTGCAATCGGACGCACACGGTGGCAGGGCTGCGGGTGAGCTAGAAGCAGAGGAAAAGAGCTCTGCTTCAGGTGGTTGAGCCTCTGGAGTGGGCTAGGTCCTGGAGGAAACGGTGGGGTGCCCGTTGCAGGTCTGCACAGGCTGGGGTATGGAATGAAGCCCACTGGATCTAAGACAACAGGCTGGCCCATCAGCAAGCTTGTCACACCCAACGTCTTTATTAAATGCCAAGGGTCCAGGCGGTGCGGCCCCTCGGGCTCACTTCACGTGCTCAGCAGCATGAGAAGAGCAGTAATACTTCTTGTGTGCGATGAAGGTGGACAGGCTGCTGAACCTGATGTTGCACAGGCGGCAGTAACGGTGGCCGCCACCACCACCTGACGAAGGAGCAGGCGCTGGCGGGCCCTTGGAGGGCGTCCGCACGCCTTGATCTGCGGGGTCAGAAGGCGTGTTCTCAGGAACTGGGGATGGGGAGCGTGGCGCGCGGCTGTCGGGGCTGTCACGCGGAGCACGTTCGGCGGGCGTGCGGGGCTCTGCGCCCGGGCTGGCCGCCGGCTTGGCTACCTGCAGGCCATGTGCCAGGCGCAAGTGCTCCACCAGGTCGCCGCGCACGCGCCCGTTGGGCGGGCAGTAGGGGCAGAGGGCGGCGGTGCGCAAAGGCGCAGCGGGGCACGAGTATTTCTTGTGAGCCAGGTAAGCTTCCAGGCTGTGGAAGCTTACACGACATGCGGTACACTCATGGTAGTCGGCCAGTGCGGGCAAAGCGGCAGGTGCATCCGGAGTCTGGCGTCGGGGCCGCTTGCTCAGGTCTATGGGGCCGTCGGGTACCGGGCCTGGAGAGGGCGTGGGGGTGGGGCCGGCGCTTGCGCTCGCGGGTCTCGGAGAGGAGGGCAGCTCCGCCGTGGGGGCGGGGACAACAGGCACAGGGGCGGGGCCTACAGCAGGAGGCGGAGCACCGGCTCCAGGCAGCTCGTACAGTTTGCGTCGCCGGCGCGTACGCACGGGCGGAGCTGTTAGCGCCGGAGCCGCCGGTCCGGGAGACGGCGTGGGTGCTGGTGGCCGGCGCGGTGGCGGGTCGTGGCGTGAGGCGCAGTAGTAGCGCTTGTGCACCGTGTAGGTCTCGTGGCGGCTGAACCGGATGTTGCAGGCCTCGCACAGCGTGCGGCTGGGATCGTCCTCCGCGTCGTCCACCGAGCTGCCCGGGCTCTGGCTGCCCTCGCTGCCCCGGCCAGCGACCTCGGCCTCTGGAGTGGTCGCGCCACCCGCCTCTTCCTCTCGCGGCCCGGGCCCCGGCGACGAGCGCTGCTGGTCTGCCTCCGCAGCTGTGCCTGGGGTCGCGCGGGCCGGCCCCGGGGCCGTCTTGGGTCTGCGCACGGCGGGCGTGTCCTCGGGCGCGCGGCGGCCGGAGCAGTAGAGGCGCTTGTGCACGTAGAAGTTGTTGATGTTGTTGAAGGTGATCTCGCACTCAAAGCACGTGGCGCCCTTAGTCCCCGGGAAGAGGCCGGCGGGCGTTCCCCCTGCTCCGGAGCTCCCCGCACCCTGTTGCAGCCTGCTGTGCACCAACTCGGACATCTTGGCCAGGATCTCTGAGGCCTGTGGCGCTGCAGGGCCGGTAGTCGTGCCCGCGTCCGGACCGAACACATATTGTGGCAGGAAGAGCGTCCCCGCCATTGCTAGCTCTCCAGGCCCCGGGCTGGAGCCCGGCGTGGGGCTGGACAGTTCTGTTTTCACCCTGACTGGAGGGGGGCTATGCGGTGAAGGTGTCCGAGATGGAGCCTGGGGACCGGGCTCTCCCGGACCGGAAGCACGCGCCGCTTCAGGCTCCTCTGCAGCCTCCACCTTGATGGTTCTGGGAGCTGCGGGGGCCTCACTGCTGCCCCCATTTTGGGGGGGCACTCTGGTCTCTCCATTGGTGACTTCGGCCAAGGTCTTACTGTCCAGTCCTGAGGATGGGGCGGGTGCCTTGTCAGCGGGAGCCAGGGGGCCGTGCATCAGTGAGTGTTGTTGGAAGCCTGCCAGGCTGTCTACAAGGACACAGGACTGCATGTCAGGCCTGGGGCAGGCCCTACATAGGATGGGGTAGGCAGAAGGGATTTAGGACAAAGACACCATGTGTTGCCTGTGGACAAGCCCCCTCCCTTCCCACTTATCAGAGGGTCAGTGAGGCCCCAGCATGTCTGCTTACCGGGAGGAAGTTTGGCTGCCGGGTGTCCAGCCCCTGGAGAGTAGACCTCACCCTTGGAGCCTGGCTGGCACACCATATGGTTTGTCACGAGGTGGCTGTAGAGGATGTCCCTTGTGGTGGATATGAAGCCACAGTTGTGACAGACACCTGCAGGCCATGCTGTTGTGGTCAGGGTCCTGGAGCTGGGGTGCGGCCCCAGAGACCCCAACCCGCCCCTCTCCAGCCCACCTACCGCTGAGTGTGTCCGTGTGCACCTTGAGGTGGCGTTCACAGTTGGCCTTGGTGGTGAAGGCCGACAGGCAGATGAGGCACACGAAGGGGCGCTCTCCTGGAACATGGAGATGAGAGGCTGCCTTGGATCCCAGTGACAAGGAAGGGACACGGGACCCTGGCCCTTTTGAGTTTCTTATCAGCCACATGCCTCCCAGGGTCCAGGCATATACCTAGCCCTGTATTACGTGTGCAGGTAGCCACAGGTAAGCCTTGTGCTAGGCTGCGGAGAGGGACAGGAGAGCTGTGTGGGCACAAGGCAGCAGAGTAAACTTTCCTAAGCACCTGTCTGGTGTGTGGTGCTTGGTTCTGCGGAGAGCAGTGAGGCCAGGAGCAGGCACCACTGGGCACTTACCGCTGTGGCTGCGCATGTGGATCTCCAGGGAGCTGGCGCTGGGGCAGCTCTTTCGGCACTGGGGGAAGGGGCAGACACGCTCATTGGGGTAGGTCTCCTTGGGCTTTTCCTCAGTCGCCGAGGCAGGGGAGCCGGCACGCTGGCGGCTGGCACAGTAGTAGAGTAGGTGGGCTTGCAGGTTCCGCTCACTTCGGTACCAGATCCCGCAGTCTTTGCAGGGGAAGACATCCTCTGGTGGGGGTGAAAGTGGGGATGAGGTACAGACTGACAGTGGGTCCCTGAGAGTAGGGACTGGCCTGTGTGACGCCTGTTTTGGGTGACTCCAAGCTGACGTACTGGCTTTTGGTAACCCAGCTCCCCTTTCAACGTGTCCCTGATGGCTAGGGTCTTACCAGGAATGGGATCTCTGAGTAATTCCCCCAGGTCGCCCCTGCCCCACAACAGTGACCTACTCATGAGTCCTCTTCTCACCGTAGGACTCAGGCTCCGGGAATTCTCCTGTCCCTGCACTGGGGACTCAGCGTCTACCGTTGCCTTAGGGCAAACATCTCCCCCCCCCCCCCCTTTCCACTGCATGTTTCTCATGGGCCATGTACCCAGATCCTCCCCACCTTAGCAGGCCATGTGCAAACTTCTAGGACTCAGGTCACCCTGCATTAGCTGGTTACTGTCCTTTTTCAGTTCATTGTCTTTCTGGGGACATACTTCACACCTCTTGCATGCTGAAAACCCAGTACCTCTCAGTTATGCCCCAGCCCTAATCTTTACCTTGAGTGTCAACCGAAGTCTGACCCAGGGTGTTGCATACTTACTGTTGATGACTGCGGTGGCGAGGATGGACGCCATGCCAGCCTGCTGGGGCAGCAGCTGGATGTCTGTGTGCACTGGAGCCGGGCCTCCAGCTTCTACTGCTTCCTGCACAGGATGTCTGGGAGTAGTACTGTGGGGCTCAGTCACAAGGAACACATGTAGTAGTCCACCCGAAGGCACCACCTTGGTGACCCTGCACCAGAGGGCGTCATCTGTAGGGTACAGGCATTGATGATGCTGGGACCAGTAATTCTAGGTTTACAATGGAAGTCCTTCCCTTTATCCCTCACGTGGGGGCCCACTGTATTGCCAGGGATAGGTGAAGCCAGGCAAATGGCAGGAAGTGGCTGTGTTGAGGTTCACAGTTGTGGCTGGCTGGATTTGAGGGGTGCTATCTTGTGTCTGGGCAAGGATTGGGGGTATACCATTTCCAGGAAAAGGTGGGTATGGAACTGGCAGCAATAACTGAGGGTATCTTAGGTAGCCACTTGGCTGGGGTGGAGGGGTTTTCTGATGCAGGGGACCCAAGAACGAATCCTGTTGGGAATTGGCCAGCTGCTGTTCCCAGAGTGACCTGTAGAGGGCAGCCTCAATCAACAAAACCCAGGAGTGCTACCTTCTGGTCTGAGGCTGTGCTTCCCTTTGAGCTGTGGGTAGGGTCACTGTTGGCCTCAGTCCCAAGCCAGGGGCCACACCCAGCAGAAATCGGGAAAAGAAGGGAGTATGTCTGCTCTAAGAGAGCAGTAGGAGCTGAGCTGCAGTGTAGGGCCTGGGTAAGTCTCACTGTGGGAGCCATGGTGATATAGAGGAAAAAAAATCACTCATCAAAGACCATAGGATTTCTGGGGTCATTATGAACCTGTCTGCTTGTCTTGGATTTTCCAAAGCACAGGCCCTACCCAGATCATGTCACCTTTATCCTCATCAGCCCTATAAGCCCTTGTCTTTTGTGGACAGCACACTTAGGCAGAACTGATATAGAAACCTATGGGCAGGGAAGGCTTAATGGGGCAAGCACAGGGCTTACTGCTTGCCAGCATCCACTCTGGTGCTGGGGCATGTTCCTTCCTAGTACAGGTTGCTTCTGGCTGCCCTCTCTGGGTCCTCAGACCACCCTTTGATAGGATGGGGAACATGGTCCCCTCTGCTCTGCAGATAGGGAAACTGAAGCAAGTGCACGCACACACACACACACACACACACACACACACACACACACACACACACACACACATGGGATGAGGTGTTGGCACAGGTCCCACGTACTTGAACCCAACTCTTAATACCTTTGGACCTTAGGAGGGCGCTCTGCTTCCCCTGAAGGCTTACTCAGGAGTTGACTTCCAGAACGTTTTAGCTGAGGGGAGAGCCCCCTTTGCACCCTCCCCCCACTTTTAGAAGGCTGGAGAGACAGGGAGGGGGTCAAGTGGGATGAAATCATTTGACCACAGCCTTTTCCAGTTTTCTAGATGGAGTAACAACCTGGAAAGCCAGGGACTTACCGAAGGTCCCACAGCTAGTAAGGGGTGGGTCTGGGTCTGAACACAGTTGGTCTAACAGAACCCAGGCTGGGCCTCAGGTTGCTGCCCTTCAGTGGCCCCCAGAATCCCTCTGCATTCAGTCTCTACCTCGGCCCGGGTGGAGAAGCCGCGATCTCAGTGGCTACAGAGGGGCCCAGTGCAGCCCATCTAGCTCTTCTGTCAGTAGAGATGATTTGTGGGACTGCAGCTCCCAAGACTGCCCATCATCCTCTCAGATGGGGTTCTGGGTGCTCTCTCAAGCAGTCTGACTATCACTCTCACCCAGATAGGCTAGTGTCCCTTTAAGAGCGGGGCCAGACAGAGCCCGCCTTCTGAAAGACCTTAGAGGGGAGGGGGGCAGGCATGTGAGACACAGACCCTTCCTGTAGATCTCTGAGTTGGCTTCAGCTTCAGTCAGGGCTTGGGGCAGCATCCTTAGCCAGCAGGCCTCATCCACCAGCAGGGTCACAGCCGGGCCCTAGGGAAGACCAGGTACAGGAGAGGATCAGTCTACTTGGGAGTGCCTATTGGGACTTCGCTGTGCAGTGGAGGTCAGTGGCCTGGCTGCTTATATGGCTGGGACATGCATAGTCCAAACACTATGGTATTTGGAGGCACAGCAGGGTGCTGCTCTTCCCAGGGTTAGGCATTAGTCTCTCTTGGAAACAAAGGTCCAGAGAGGTCAAGCAGTGTGTCCAAGGGCACACAGCTGGTGAGTCTAGAGCCTGCAGACCTGCGTTGCCTCCCTGCACCAGTCAATGCCTGCAGGGAGCGACATGATACCAATTCCTATTGAGGGAGGGAGGGGGAGGAGGGGGACACCAACTGACCCTTGGGTCCTCCAACAGTATAGCTTTCCTCTCTAGTGCAGGGTGGAACTTTTATCCCTCTCTATTCATTGGCAACACTGTCACCTCCCTATGGTGGGTCGCCCCAGCCCAAGACCAGCTAGCTGTGTTGCTGAGGCCGGGTAAAGGGTAGGGGGTAGTTGTGGCTCTCTGCCCTTTTCACCATCGTATAGGAAAGGACACTGAGGCCAGGAAAAGGGTTGGGGGTTGGGGGTTGGGGGTCGAAGTTCCAGCCTAGGGCTGTGCCACACACTTCCTCTGCAGCTTGGTCTAGACCTGGAAGGAAAGAGCTCTGGGCTCAGCCCCCCAGGGCCACCGAAACTGTTTCCTGCCCCCTACACCCTGGCTCTCAGCCCAGCAGCAAAGGAAGTATACGTGGCCATGTCTCAGTGCAGTCCAGGCTGGAAGCCTGGGCTGGGATTTAGTCTCACGTGGAGGATGAGACTTAGCCCGTGGCAGGCAAGCAGGGGCAGCAGAAGCCCTGTCCTGTTTGTCCTTGGAGGGTGACCAAACCTCAGTCCCTGGACCCAGCCACTTGGGCACTATGTGTACAAATACAGAGCATGCCCATGCACTATTCTGTCAGCCACTCGCTGTTTTATTCAAATAAAAATGCCTTTTAACCGGAAACCTGTACCTCAAGAACTTTTAACTGAAGGCCCAGAGCCACTGCTCATGCTGTGGGTCTTAAGAACCCCTGTGGTGTTCATGGCAATTGGCTCATTGGGTAGGAAAGATAAACAACTGGCTGCTGATTGTGTGGGGCACCACCCTGCCAGGACTGTGCTTGGCTTTCATGGGTTTCCTTGTATGTGGTGCCCGTATAGACTCTAGGGCCAAACATCAGGGTCTAACTCAGGCTTGACCTTTCCCCTATGGCCCCTGTGGACCAACTCTTCAGAGACCCCATTCACATGGCATATATAGAACCAGCAAGATAAGGCCTACTAGCTGGGAACTCTCAGTGACCAGGTACGATGAGGTCAGCACAGCCCAGCCAGGTGGCTTCCACGTCACCTGCCTGCTGCCACGTGGCTTGTCATGGAGCAGAGAGTGGAGATAAGCTGGCTCTGAAGGGGAACCCCAGAGTCCCGGCAGGTAACACCTACACCCCTGGCCTCAGTTTCCTATATCCTGGCAGAGTGAGACCACATGACACAGTTGCTGGGAAGACTCCTTGTCCTGCCACCAGCTCTCAGGGGTCCCAGACATGTCATTCTCCTCTCTACGGCCCTTTGCTCCCTGGACATCGGTGAGTGTAGGTATGCAGAAGCCTATGGAGCTGCACACACTGGCCACAGCTGCCTTACGCTTTGCTTGAAGGATGACGTGAACAGGAAGTTATCTCTGGGCCTAGGTATGAGCCTTAAAGGGTCCTGGATCAGGCTGGCAATTGCCAGCTGTCCATTGAGGGGGTGCATTCCACCCAAGAGCCTGTTTCAGATCTACTGGTGTCAGGGGGGTGGCTCATTCTTAATGGGTACCTTGCTGGCTCCCAGGGATGAAGGGGACAGATATGCCTTCAAGGTCACAGTTGAGTAGCCTGGAGCAAACCCGAGGGATCATACAGTACATGGGGTGTGGCAACCACATTGGGGACCTGTGACTCCCATAGCCTAGCTATTCCAGGCCCGAGCAGAGGGCTGGCAGTGAGGTGGCTGGGTCTGGCCCTCCCTGCCTCAGCCTTCCACGTCTCTAATGAATATTAATGAGCGGAGGAGGGTGAGAAAATTAATCTGCCTGATCCTCTGATGGGTGCTGTGGTAACGATATGAAATCTAATTATTCGTCCCAATATTTCTAAACCCTCAAACTGAGACTGACAGCCTCGCGGTCGGTTTAACGCTTATCGCTCTCTGGAGCAGCATGTTCACGGCATGATAAAAACACGCGCGCGCCACTTTGCTGACGCTGCACAAGCCGCTCTTTCTGTGGAGGTCCTGGTGTAGGGAGCACCATACTGCATCCCTCCCACCCACCCCCCTGCCCTGCAGCATTGCGGCATGGGGTTCAACTTTGGGGAGCAGAGCTAGGAGGGAGCGAGGGGAGGCTGTTCATAATCACATCAGCCCTCCAGGGAATCAGGTCATGAGATCCTGGCTGCCCCAAAGCAGATGTCCTGGGCCTCCATCCATGGTCCTTCTCTGCCTCCAGGGGGCCTGTCACCCAGTGTCAGGATAGGCTGAGGTCTGGGGCAGGGATTACATTCCCTCTGCTTACTGTCCGGATCTCTTAGGCCCTGGAGGATGGAGCACAGCTCAAGTCCACCTGACATCCCCGGATAGCTCCCTGTTTGGCCCAGAACCTCCATGTCAGCTGGAGCCACGCTTTGATCCCCTCTGGCAGTGGCTGGGGTAGTAGGACAGGTTAAGGTTCCTGTGTGTGGCTTGCTTCCTTTCTTTCCTTTACTCTCTTTCTTGTTTCTGAACAGTTCTGAAATAGAAGCTCCTCTCTAGTGTTGAAGGCATCAGCCAAAGCCCCACAGGGTCCTGCCCCACCCATGGGTAGCAAGGAACAGGCCTGAATGGGGTCTATTTTATTTTTCAGAGGGGAAAGCTATGAGACAGGTTCTCCTGTAATCCAGGCTGGCCTTGAACTTGCTACATTGTCAAAGATGTCTGTGAACTATCAACCTCTTTGCTTCTACCTCTTGATTCCTGGGATGACAGGTGTGTACCACCATGCCTGGTTTATACAATACTGGGGATTGAACCCATGGCTTTGTGCATATTAGGCAAGTGCTGTACCAGTCAAGCTATATCTTCAGTATGGGGCTTGTGTTCAATTCTCACAGCCTGGCCCTTTTGCCAAGGCCATCAGAGGCACGATGCAGCCATCTCTCTCCCGGTTCTCAGTAGCTCACCCAGGCTTCACTCCATCTGTACACGTGTGTCCAGGCTCAGAGAAGGGCCCTGGCATTCATCCTTCTTGCCCCTCAAGTCACCATTTGTCTCTTCCTCCTGGCTCTAACTCACCCTGGCCCCCAGTCTAAGATGTCGTCAGCCACTTTAAATTCTCCTGTGGATCTAAGCCTTCTCCCGTTCCCCCAACAAAGAGGTTAATGTCTCGACTCCGTGGGCTGATAACCATCAGAAACCATATCTGTGCACTATCCGCTACGACAACTTTATCTGAGACTTTTCCCAAACCTTGCTGTCCAACTTCTAAAGCCATTTATAGGGAAGGTAGGTCCTCAGCTGGGCAGCCTGGCCCAGAAATGGCATCCTACACTGCGGTCTGGACTCCAGGTCTCCATGGGCTGGAAAACCAGGGCTGAGGCCTGTGGCCATAGGGTGACTCCAATTATAACCCCTCTCCTAACCCATCCACCTGTGCTAAGAATTTACTGATCTACTCATCTTGCACAGTGATGGCAGCCTAGGGTTCCTTTCTTTTCCCCAGATGCCCATTGCCCACTTCACAGGTACAAGGCTAAGGCCCACCAAGATGGCTATGCACACAGGATTAGAACCAAGGTCTGAGAAGCTCTGCCCCATCCCAGTGGCCTTTCAGTCACACATTCACAAATTCATTCATTCACCCCTCAGATAGTTTCTGAAGGCCAGCTGTGTGCCAGGTGCTAGGGACAAAATAAATAGAAAGGAGGAAGGACCAGGGCCTGTGAAGGGCCAAGGATAGTAGGAGACAAGGGACTAGCAAGTGTCAGGCCTGGGTTTGCTGTTAACTGGGCCATCACAGACAGAGGAATGCAGACCCAGGAGAGCAGACATCACCTGCAGGGAAGGTCACAGGGGTACGATTCATGCCATCCTTGCCAGCTTTCCCTCTGTATGGAATACCCTGCTGCTCACCTCCTGGTCCCCAGCCTTTTATCTCAGGTGGCTTTGGGGCCCATGGATGAGCTGCCCTGGCTCAGGAGCAGGTGGGAGAGCCTGAGCAAAGCTTGGTGCCTGGGGGTTTCCTAAGCTCCTACCACAGCAGACAGGGAAACCAAAGCATGGAGAAGACAGGTGCCTAGGCCCCTACAAGGCCAGCAGCAAGCCTAGACTAGAAGTCCACCCCCACTTCCGTCTGGTGACCCAGCCAAATGATACTCCGGCTATCCCAGTCTCTGTGGAGTGGGCAGAATGGAGGCTTCAAGATGTCAGCAGAATCGTGAGAGTGATCGATCTCACGGAGAGAAAGGGTCTTTACAAGTCTGAGTTCAGAATCTCCGAATGAAAATATGAAAGTATCTGGAGCGGGGTAGTCCTAGGCCCAATAACAAGTGACCTAAAAAGAGGAGAGGCAAGGAGAGACAGGAGCCACATGGAGTCAGTAGCAGACAGAGTGGTGGCCAAGGGTCCTGGGGCCACCAGACACCTCAGGCAGACTCAGCCTCTGAGACCCACAGGACCGGCTCTACCCATGAGGATAGTGACCTCTGTCTTCAACCATGACAGAGTGTAACTGAGACACCAGGTTGTAGCACTCGGGGCATCCATGGGAGGATCTGTCTGCTGCCAGAGTATGGCAGACAGCCATTTCCAGCAGAGGTTCCTGAGGCTGGCCGACTGTCTCTTCTAAGTACTAGATGCTAAGACAGGGGTTGGAATGCCTTAGTAGGTTAGCAAAGCAGGACTCAAACATAGGACATCTCTGTCTGGGTAAGGCAATAGTGGGCACAGCTGGGCTGTGTGGAAGGGAGGCCTTTCCTGGTAACCCCTTCCCTTCCAGTTACACAGAGATGTGGCTGAAAACCAAGCTTGCCCCAGCACTTCCTCAAATCCCTAGCTAGGGTGGGGCCTGAGGTAAGTCTGGGCTTTGCCATACTGGCCTAGGTTTCCTAGCTCAATCCTCAGGTGAGAGCACCCCAGGCCATTAGGGGTTGGCCTAAAGGACATTTCACACTCCAGTGAACACTTGCCCAAAGCCATGTAGAGGCTGGGCCCAGATGGTCCCACTTCAGTGTCTCTAGCATCTCTTCCTGCTTAGCACTCGGGCCCTCCCCTGCCTTCACTGATGTTATGGTGGGCTCCTGGCCAAAGTAAGTAAGCTGAGGGAACAATGAACAGGCAGAACCAGCATGGCCAGGCGGGGGTGAATGGCTGTGCACTTACCATTCATCTATCCATCCACCTATGTACCCATTTCCTATCTGCTCATTCATTCTTCCACCCCTCCATTCACCTACCTACCTATCTGCCCACTTACCAACCATCTACTCACTTGTCTATCCATCCATTCACCCCCTTACCCTCTATCTATTCATCTTTCCACCCATACGTGTACCCATTTATGAATATATGTCTACATATCCACTTATCCATTGATCCACCCACTACTCATTCACCCACCTATCTATAATCCATCTACTCACCTATCTATCCATTTAGATAACCATTTATGCATCCATATCCACTCATCCATCCACCCACTTACCACCCATCTACTCATGCATCCATCTTTATCTGTTCACCATCCATCCACCTATCTACTCTCAGTTACCCATCTACTCACCCACCCATTCACTTACCCAACTTTATGTGCTCACCCACTCATCCATCCATCCATCCATCCATCCATCCATCCATCCATCATTCATCAGTCCACCCATCTACTTAGTATCCTCATCTCCTCTCTTCTCATTAATCCATTCTGAGCATTTTGGGGGGGCAGGGTGCATCTTGAAGCTGGGACCCCAAGAAGCCTTTTCAACTGTCTTTTTTTTTTTACAGGCAATGGAAACCATAGCAAGCCATAGATTCAAGACTACCAACTCTCCACTTAGGGCTGTGTGACTCAGTTTCCTTCCTGGATACTAACCTTGGATATCTGGTGTGGGTGAGTGTTGGGGGAAATTTCTCTTTCAACATGTCCCCATGATGAGCAGTCCCCAGCCTAAGAGAAGCCCGGGAAAGGGGCCCCATATCTGCCTGTGCTCCCTCCTCCTTCTCTTAGGGGAGAGGAGGAACTGCCTGGTGGCTGATAGGGCCATGGGGCAGGAGGCGACTTCTTCCTTAGGCTGCGGGGAGAACTGGGACCCATCAGCCGAACTTGATAAGAGCCCGCTGAATGTTAGCAAAAATATTTAGACAATAAACGAAGTATCGCAAAGGCGCCCATATCTTTCAGAAATCAATCATCTGTACCGTGTGTCTGGACGCTTGGCGCCAAGGCGGAGATAGTGCCTTGCTGGGGAGATAAGGGTTAATCAAGGATTTAATTCTGTGAGATAGAGGGGAGTGAGGGAGGTGCTTCCTCCCTCCACTAGGAGCCTCAGAGGCATTGTGACTGCAGTCCATTGGCCAGCATCTCACACCTGGGTGGGGAGTCTACCTTCCTGCCACCTTCCCAGGCTGAGCTATGCCAGGAGACAAACTGGGATCAGAGGGTGGCAGAGGCAGAGGCTCTTGTGAGGAAGGGTGGCTTGAGATGGCCCGAGAACTTGAGCACAGCTGGGCTGGGTTCTAGCTCTCCCTCAGCTCTCTGGATCCTGGTGATTTAGGTAAGAGCCTCAGTGCTTAGCTTTGTCATCTATAAAATGGGAACATTTGGGGCTAAGGAGATGGGTCAGTGGGTAAAGAGGCCTGCCTCTAAGTCTGGCAATATGAGTTCATTCCCCAAGACCCCAAAGGTAGAAAGAACAAATCAACTCCTGTAAGTTGTCCTCTGACCTCCACATATATGTGTTGGCATGCGTGGATGGACAGATGGATGGACAGAGAGAGAGGAGGGGGAGAATAAATTTTAAAAATTGGGGACAGTGGCCTGCCTCCTAGGGTTTGGGGAGGCTGCCATGTAGAGTGTGCCTGGGACATACTTATTTGTCCTAGCTAGGTTGACCACCCGAAGGAATACAGAGGAGACTGAATCAGGGCACACCAGGACTTGGGGGCCAGTTCCTGGGCAGACCTGCCTTTGCTCCTGTTGCGAGATGAGGGTTTTCCTGACTAGAGTGTGGAGACAGGGGCTACCAGGTTCCTGCTTGCACACTGACTCCTCTTTCTGACTAACCAGTGTCAGTGGTCTCCAAGTCACTTGCTATCTACTGCACACAAGGACATGCTCGCCCTGCAGAGCCACTTTGAATGCCCTGACTTCCTTCCTACAGGACCTTAATCAGCTGTCCTGTGCATTGTGACATCCCTCCCTGGACCTTGGGCCAGTCTCCTTCCTCGGGCTGTACTGAATGTGTACAGGGTCAAGTACCACTCTAGGCCTATCTTACGTACTCCATGCAGCCACCAGCAGGCAAGGGGATTGACTCCTACTTCAGAGCACAGCCTGACCTTATCTTCTCTGCAGGCCTAGGCCTAAAGGAAGCCTCTAGGTTCTGAGTGTCCTGCCTGCGGTCCCAAGGGCTGAGAAAACAGTGGCTCTGAGCAGGAAGGGATCTGCCTGGGACATAGCAAACAGAAGACTCCAGGTGGACCTGCTTAGTCCAGGGCCAGCTCCTGCTCTCCCTGGATAGCCTGGGACAAGTGTACCTATCCTGCTAGCTGAAAGGCTATGTGGCCAGGCCACAAGCCTCTGTAGATGGCTTATTTGAACTCGGTGAGCCTTTTCCAACATGAGAAAGGCTGTCCCAACACAGAGATTCTGAGTCACCACATGTGGCTTGTGCAGAAGGGGCTGTGAGTGGTGGTCTGTGCTAGGGACCTGTTTGCTGCTCCCCACCTGCCTATGGACACTGTCTCAGCAGTCTGTGCTTCTGTGATGTTTCTGAGGATGAGACTGTGTATGCACGTGTGTGCAGCATCCTGGCTTCCAGATGCTGGGGAAGTGCAGCCCACGGTCTCAGCCTCACCTGCAAAGGGCACTAAGAAGGCAGTCTTCAGCCCAAGGAACCCAGCAGCATGTGGCACTGGCCAGCCAGTGAGTATCTTGGATCAAGCCACACCCAAACGCCACATCAGGAGACAGAGGGCCTACACCACAGTGCTCTAGCATAAAGACACCTCATCCTAGGCTTGACAGGGCTAGCCTAGGAGCTGTTGGGCCTCCCAGGCCTTTGCCATCATGCTACCTCTGGACATTGCACAAGGCCCTCCAATTCCTGCCCCATGTTTGTATGTAGGTCTCTGTGTCCTGGTGTCATTTTCCATCTGAAACGATTTCAAAAGGAACCCACACATCCCAGCAGGAGGAAGCCAGGCCGACTTGCCATAACAGAAGCGGCCTCAGAAGCAAGTCCAAGACAAACGGCAGTGTAGCTGTGTGGTGGGAAGGAGGCTGCCCTAGGAAATCTCTGCCCAGGCAGGGCTGCTAGAGTGAGCAAGCTGAGCCAGTGCCGGAAAGCCACGCCCACCCCAGTACCTGTTCCTGTGTCGGAAGGAACTTCTTACCTTCCTGCAGCTTCCCCTTCATTCAAGCTGCTGCCCACCCCTGGCCACCTTTCCCTCCCAACCTGATGGGCACCCTGTTCCTTGCCACTCATTCCCTTTGGACCCCCTTCCTTTCCCCTGCTGGGCTCCTGTCCTCTAGGAAGTCATCCTGGGACCCAAAGCACAGTATCACTCCCTTCAGAGGCCTCCCAGGAAGTCCCTCCCCCTTCAGAGGCCTCCCAGGAAGTCCCTCCCCCTTTCACCCTTGGCTCTTTGGATTCCACCAAAGTTCCCCATGGGTAAAGGCAAAAGGTTTGGTTGGTCAGCCAGGGTTCAGCTCCTTACCGGTTCTTCCCACTCAGGGGATAAGGCTCTGGTCTGGATGCTCCCACGGAATGGGCCCCAGGACAGGCCCTCAGTGAGGCTCAGTCGGGCCCGTACACACCTCTGCCCGTCCTGCAGTACCAGCTCCAGCTCCTCTGAAGAAAAACATGGTGGGGTGAGGTGCTGCTTGGTGACCCCCCCAGCCCGCTTCTGACCCATAGCCCCCACTCCTTTGCCCTTTCTGAGGACACGTTGGATTACAGAAACACCACAGAGAGGTGGACAGGCCACACCATGGCCTTGGTCACTGTCTGCAGAACCTGTGTGTGCCACACACATGCAGAACCTTGTGTGCTAGGCCAAATGGTGGCCCTTCACAAGACATCACCTATAACTGTGAATGTCCCTTGCATGTGAAAAAAGGTCTGCAGGTGTGACTAAAGATCATGGGATAAGATCACCCTGGATTAGCAGGTGGTTCTAAATAAAAGACAGTGCCTTTTTTTTGTTTGTTTGTTTTTGTTTTTGTTTTTCGAGACAGGGTTTCTCTGTGTAGCTTTGCGCCTTTCCTGGAACTTACTCTGGAGACCAGGCTGGCCTCGAACTCACAAAGATCCGCCTGGCTCTGACTCCCGAGTGCTGGGAGTAAAGGCGTGCGCCACCACCGCCTGGCAAGACAGTGTCTTTTAAGAAAGGCAGATGCAGAATACAGGGCCAGAGGGTATGCCACATGAGGCTTCTAGAACTTCTCATGGATCATGGCCTGCAGGTTGGGACAGGAGACTCAGCTGTACTTATTGGTGTTAGCTGTGGGACACATGGACACGTGGCCAGCCATCTGCCCTACTTGAGCCTCTCTTTCTTTCTTTCTTTCTTTCTTTCTTTCTTTCTTTCTTTCTTTCTTTCTTTCTTTCTTTCTTTCTTCCTTTCTTTCTTTCTTTCTTTTTTTTTTCTGGTTTTGGTTTTGGTTTTTCAAGACAAGGTTTCTCTGTGTAGCTTTGGAGCCTGTCCTGGAACTCACTCTGTAGACCAGGCTGGCCTCGAACTCACAGAGATCCTCCTGCCTCTGCCTCCCGAGTGCTGGGATTAAAGGCGTGCACCACCACCGCCCGGCTGAGCCTCTGTGTCTTTAAAGGAGGTGGGAGCATGGTCATTCCTCAGGCCACACACCCTCTGCCCTGTCCACCTGCTACTCAGGCTGCCAGCCTGTGGAGGCCTCACATGGCCTGGCCTGGTCCCCTGGCCAGAGTGCTGTGGCGGCCCCACTTCCTGGAGCCCCATCAGGCAGGCTGTGGCCTTAATGGGCTCGATCATCAGATAACTGGCCAGCTAATGGTGGAGATAAGGTGTAAATACGCCAGGAGGCCCCGTGGAGAGCTGTAACTGGGCCTTTGTCTTCCCCGGGGCTGATAAGATGGCAGTGGACCAGGGCTGGAGGCCAAGGAGGCCTGCACCCCTTTATCAGCCTGGGAGTGGGAGAGGGGCTGAGGGGCCAGAAGGCAGGCTCTACCCTTCATAAAAGCAACCAGTCCTCTGCAGCTCACCCAGGGCACTGTCCTGGTGCAGGGCTGTCCCACTGGCTCCCCCTCCCTCACCTTCCCTTGCCCCACAGGGCACGGTTCAAAGCTGACACCAGGATGGTCAGTACCATCTACAGGAGCAGGGCTTGGCAGCACTGTCCTGAGAGGGATGGAGACACTAACTCCTGTGAAGCTTATTTCCCGTGTAGACGAGGAAACTGAGGCCCTGATAGGCCCACAGCTGGCAGCAGGTGTCAGTATCCAAACCTGGACTGACTACAGGGCTGTCTATCGGTTGTTGTGACCCGTCAGCTTCCCCTGGTTTGGGTGCTTATGTCTTTGGTCCCCACATAATGGCCCTCAGGACAGAAATGGCATTAGAGAGTTCTTCTGAGAGTCTGTGCTTTAAGCTTGGCTACCCAGCATCCCACCGAGGTGTCAGGAAGGGACAGAGAAAGCTCTACTATCCTGAGAAGGGTGTGCCTGGATCTTGAGACAGACAGCTAAGTCATCTACCCTCACATGATTTCTATTCTGTGTTTAGAACATCCCTCGGAAGATGGGGCCTGGTCCCTGTCACGATCTCCCTGCTGCAGAGACACCTTCACCTGAGGCTGTGTCCTCACAAATTGGGGCACAAGGTAAGGAGGCAGTTGATGTAGGTCACCCTGAGGGCGTGGCATGGGCAGCCCTACAGCCACACTCATCCATGCTGCTACCTGTGGGAGCCCGGCTCTGGGCTCCAGCTTGCCTCCATCCCCCATGGGGAAGGAGGTAGTCGGTGCCACCCCCTCACTCACCCACTAGCAAACGGCCCCGCACCCTAATCAGAGTTCACGGCCACAGCTCAGCCTTCCAGATAAGAACATGGCTGGCATTTCCCACGGCAGCCACCCCATCCTCTGGGTATCATGCACTGCCAGAGAGGGCTGGTTGCTGATAAGAGCTGTGGTCCCTCTCTCAGGGGGACAGCACCATCATTCTGTACTCAGGGACTGGGGGAGGCCTTGGAGAGGTGAGATGTACAACAATCACTATGGTAACACACCTCTCTGGTCCAGGGTCCAGGTCAGCCAGTCTGCCTTTTGAGGCAGATGAGTAAGGGGAAGGCAGCTGATTTCAGCCTCAGCTTTCCTCAGCACTGTGTACAAGGCAACCTGTGCAATGGTGCACAGCAGCTCTGGTGATAGTCAACATTCAGTTACTTAGATAACCTAGTTCCTGCCCCAATCCCTTGTGGCCAAAAAATGAGCTAGCACCCAGCAGAGATGCTCTCCTAGCAGGTAAAACAGCACCAGAAAAGTGGGGCTTGGAGAAGCTGGTCATTTCCAAGGACCCTGAGAATGAGAGTGCAAGAAAGCAAGCTCGGGGCTACCTGGCCGGTGAGGGGCTGGGAAGACAGTTTTCTAGAAAACCTGGACCTCAACAGTGGTGACAGGAAACCTGGGCTGGATGTGGCCATGTGGCCATGATCTAGCCTCTGGGTTTGTGGCACATGCTCGTTGGCAGAGCTCTGAGGGGTATCCGGGGACAGGGATTGGGGCCACAGCTTCTATCCTGGGAATTCTAGGAACAAGGTGCTGTCCGGATGCCCTCATGGTCACAGGCAGCTCCTATGGTGGGCTGTTATGGTGGGTTCCAGCCTGGTTTAGGCCTTGTCCACCTGTTCCCTCAGTGGAGAACGGAGAATGTGCCCTTTGTCCCTTAAAACCTGCAGTCCTAACATGAACCCTGGTCCCGTCTTCTGTCCCTCAGCCCAACACCAGACACGACTTACGAGATTCCTCCTGGCATTCCTGGGAGACAGAGGCTCAAAGAGGGTCAGCAGCCAGCGGGACTGTGTAGTAGACAGGCTGAGTTTGACCCAGAGTCTTGCCACACAACCCCAGTACCCTTTTGAAGGATGACGTAGGAGGGAGCAGCTAGCTTCTTCCAGGGCTGAAATATTCTGGCTCTGGTCTCAGTTTCCCTAATGCTCTCTGGTGGGCCCTTGACAGAAACCAGGCAGTCACTGCAGGTCCAGCACTGGGTCAAGGGCTAATTTATTCAGGTAAACAACTGTACACATTGCTTCTAGAACACGTGCTAGGACTTAATTGCATTCCCCAGAAGCATCTTCAAGGAACCTAATGCATATTTATCTGTTTGCAATGTTAGTCATGCACGGCCCTCAGGGCACTCACCCCCCAGGAACAGAAGCCCAGGATCCACCTCCTCATCTGGAGCCTGGCTGGGGGTAGGGGTTGATCTGGCTATTGTTGGGGTGCCCTAGGTGGCAGAACTGTGTTCAAACCAACAGGCCAAGTCCTGACACTGCCCTAGTGGCAGCTGTTTCTGTCCTGCTGGACCCTCAGCTTACTATGTTGTAGAAGGGCTGCTCATATGCTCATAGGTCATCCTCAAGAGCCTCTGTCTGTAAGGCTAAAGGGCCGTGTTTACTACAGTGCTGAAACTGGCCTCACAGGGGGTGCTCTTGGCCTGGGAGCTCCTCAGACCTGACTTGAGGCCCCTAAGTTCCAGCTCTGCCTTGAAATCGAAGTGGCTTCCCTCAACAGCTGCACAACACTGCCCAGTCCTGGCGTTGGCCTCCTCTTTTTTTTTTCCTTTGGTTTTTCGAGACAGGGTTTCTCTGTGTAGCTTTGCGCCTGTCCTGGAACTCACTTGGTAGTCCAGGCTGGCCTCGAACTCACAGAGATCCGCCTGGCTCTGCCTCCCAAGTGCTGGGATCAAAGGCGTGCGCCACCACCACCCGGCTGGCCTCCTCTTTATGTAGATGATGGAGACCCAGAGATCTTTTGCAAATTCCCCCAAGGTCACAGGCCCACGCATGGCCACTCCTTTTTCCTTCTTTCCCTCTTTTTTTTTCTTTCTTTTTTAATGTTTTATTTATAGTGTGTGTCTGTGTGTAGGTATGCCGTGTGTGTATCTTGGCTCACACAGGCCAGAAGAGGGTGTCAGATCCCCTTGGAGTTGGAGCCTCCTGACACGAGGGCTGGAAACCAAACTTGGATCCCTAAAAGAGCAACAAGTGCTCTCAACCACTGAACCATCTCTCTGGCTCCCCAAGCATGGCCATTCTTTTTGTAGGGTTTCTCTGTGTAACAGTCCTGGCTGGCCTCAAACTCACAGAGATCCGCCTGCCTCTGTCTCCCAAGTGCTGAGGTTAAAGGCCACCACTGCCTGGCCCAAGTATGGTCACTCTTAAGCCCTGACCTCAGAGTACCCTTTTGATAAGACCCGAGTCACCCCTGTTTTCCCGTGTGGGTAATGGCCCCATCTGCTGGCATGCAATTCTAAAACAGGAGGTTGTGGTGTGTAGGAGTGTCAGCAAGAGACTTCCTCACCTCAAATGGGGCCAGACCCCTTGTGCCAATGGCCAGGGCCTCTGGAGCACCAAACCAACCACCCAAAGCCCCCACCATGCCCTGTGGAGTCTGTGGTTGGTATGTGGGTGCCCACCAGCTCACCACCAGTACCTACTTATCTAATCAGCCCATCGTTCCCTCCAACCCGCCCTGTGACTCCCACAGGGCAGCTGGGGAGCGGCCCCTATCACAAGGATCATCCTGTTTGCTTTTGATAAAAGTCACAGTAAAGGAAGAAAAAGGCACCAGCGGGGAGGGAGGGAAGCCCCA